AAAATTTAACTTTTTTGCATATGTTGCAATTTGAATTTTTCAAAACGGACATATAATACTCAACTACACTCGGTTAAATATTTTGGACAACGGTTTAAAATCATTATAAGTATGACCAATATTAAAACCATTGTTACATGAGCATATTTAATATTTCAAATAGTTTCAAATATTATAAATAAAAGGTTCATATATATAAAACTTTTAGAATTTAAAATATCGAAATATTTTTTTGAAGATATAAATGTAATTTTGGAGACATAATTACATTTTGGAGACATAATTTTTATTGATAAAATATATTATATATCAAAATATGTAAATTTCAGATAATTCACGGGTAGTTTGTTAAAATCACAATTACAATGATAAAATGAGTTACGAATAATGTTTTTTACGAAATGAATTCTGTTACGGGTTGGACTTTCAAAAAATATATTGTAAATATGTAATTTTTACGTATATTCCTACTTTTACTACAAAAATGGCCAAAATGAATAATTTATCGACAAATATTATTTAATGCTGTTAAATTTTCACCGTGTTTTTAATTGTATCAAAACTCAGTATATGATTATTTACTCGCTTTTTCCTTTATTATTTTATTTAAACTTATTATACAAATATATGATTTACCGTAATCGACTGCACTCTAACAAAATTAAAATGTAACATATTCTAATCCGATAAAAGTTATATATATGTAATTATTTCCCCCGCGCTGTAGCGCGGGTGCGAACCTAGTACAACGTTGTTTTAAAAGTCCACTAAATTATATTGCTGATTATTTTTTACCTGCATTTGAATATAACTAGAAAACAACTGCAAATTGTATTTTATTTGGATAACATTGGACTATTTTGATTGTTTTAGAGTTAAAATTTAAAATTGAGTACTATTACATGGAAAATAAATTAGAATGTGGATAGACAATAAGAGGAAACTTGCGACAAACATCAATACCATTTGCTTCAGCTAGATCAGGCTTATCATCTCCAAATGGTCCTATCTTAACTCTCCAGTCAAATTGGTTTACAAGGTTGGCAATGGTAAGCTCAGCTAAGGCCAGTGCAAATCCTATTCCAGGACATTGCCTTCTCCCTGATCCAAATGGAAAGTACTTAAAATTTTTACCTTGGAAATCAACAAGTGAATCCAAATGCCTCTCAGGCCTAAACTCTTCTGCGTCTGCGCCCCAAGTCGAAATGTCTCGTTGGATCGCCCATACATTGATTAGCACCTGTTTTTTTTCAAATAGAACTTTTATCTTTAAAGCATCTTGTGTCATTTCTATTTTATCTCTATAAGCTATAAGGACTTACTTGTGTTCCCCCAGCTATGTCATATCCCTTCATCTTGACATCTTCACTCAGTAGACGCGGAATTAGTGGACCTGAAGGATGTAGCCGAAGAACCTCCTTGATCACAAAATTTAAATAGTTCATATGCACAACTTCTTTCTCCGATACATATGAACTATTCTTCGAAACAGAACGAATCTCGTCTTGGAGTTTCTTCATACACTCTGGATGTCTCATAAGCTCAGTCATAGTCCATTCTATAAGAGTGAAAGTTGTTGATGCTCCCCCAAACAACATATCCTATATAAACAAGAAAAGAATTACTAATCATTTTTTTCGACGAACTTATTTTTCTTGAAATATATGTAAAAGAAAGAACATGAAATTGTTTTACCAACAGAAGGTTTTTAAGAGCGGTTTTGTCAAGCTCGATAGGCGTTGTTTTATCGTTTTGAATAGAAAGCAACATATCAGTGAAGTCTGATCTGTTTTCATCTGCATCTACATGTTCTTCAACCACCTTTTCCAAAAAACTTTGGATCTCATTTTTTACTCTTTCCAATTTCTTATCGAAACCTCGAATCTTGTCTATCCATGCCAAACTAGGAATGTATTCACCGATAGGGAAAGCGCCCATAAGCTCCATCAGTCTCCTTACTATGTTCTTGGAATTTTTGCCACCCTCCTCGCTGCTATATTTTCTTCCCAAAACAACTCTAGTCATTACATCATTTGTAAGAGTCATGAGGATTTCGCTTAGATTAACCGGTGAAGAGGAGGAATTGGCCTTCTCAAGTTTCCCCATCATCCCGTTGATCTCTTCTTCTCTTATATTCCCAAACGACCGTACAGTTTTGTTGCTAAGGAGGTTCATAGCGCATATACTCTACATACATCACAAGTAGATATTGAAGATAATTTAGCAATACTTTTAGATGAACCACACTCTTTGGGATTTTTATAGGTTCCATATAATATTTGTTCCATAGATAAGATTTGGGAACAATATTGTAAATACCATATATTTATAACATAAACTTATTGTTAAATGTATAAAAATTGATTAGAGAGTAGAACAATAAACCTTAAACTGCCTCCAATATTCTCCATAGGGGGCCAAGGCCAAATCTCTCCCACCATTAAAAAGTTTCTCGGCCACTCTTGATTTTGGCCTATTAGAAAATTTTATGTCATGTGTTTTCATGACTTCATGAGCATACTCAGCGGATGAGACTACAAGGATGGGGACACGGCCATAGTGAAGGAGCATTAGTGGCCCATAGTGAAGGCTAAGAGAATGGAGGGAGCGGTGAGGATTTAGACTTAGCTGGTGAAGGTTTCCGATAATTGGAAACCGCCATGGAGATGGTGGTGGATTAAGGTTTGTTTTGTTGGCTCGTTTGATAAGGAGTGGCTTTAGGAACAGAAAAGCTAAAAGAGTTGTTAAGCACATAGAGATCAGTATCATGTCCATTTTTTTTTTATTACAGAAAAGTTGATTACAAGCTCTAATACTTAGAATGATTTGTGAACAAATGGATATCCCTTTTTTTTCTTTTTTTTTTTTTCTTGTCAACAGTATTTGCTTATTCTTTATAACTTTAACTACATATACATACATATGTTGTATGATGGGAAGGGTTTGAATCATACTCAATATTAAATACACGGTCAATATAGATTAAAATATCATTAATTTTATACTTCAAAACGGGTTAAAACTTCATTATAGTATTTCTTAACAAAAGATCTATAAGACATGTCCAATCAAACTGATTTAATTAAGTTTGATATTATACAATCTTAATAATTTTAAAACAAGTTACAACACAAAATAAATTTTTTTTTTTAAAAGTACAATGAAAAGTTTGCATGTATCGTGGGTTAAAATCTAGTAACTCCATACTTTAGCTAGACAAAATAATTTTCTTATTGACCGGAAACAAAAGGAAAGTACATAAGCTTGTAAACAAAACTGCACATTAAAAGCAAGAGATGATAGTGGAAGCAACCCAGCACGGCAAGTTTTGAGTAGCCAATTTTAGAACTACGATTCAAAGGTGTTTAAAGACTGAATCGGTTTAAAAACAAAGAAGGCATGTAGTAACTACTGATCTTTCCTTCGGGATGGGTCAATCCTTCACCAACAGCCACATTATAAGTAACGTTGGACATGCGAGCACAGTCGATCACACTCTTTAGAACCCGAAATGGCTTCACGTTCTTTGTATTCAAAAACTCTTCCTTCATTGTCTTGTCCATGTCCGAAATAATTTTACGAAGCTCTCTAATGGCTTCCTCTTCGGTAACTCCATATTGCTTCATATAACATTTGATCCCATTTGTGACATATCCTCTACTCATATCGTCCTAGTCAACATAATAACAATAATAATCATAATATGTTGATTTTGTATAACGCAAACCGTCTAAGCAAACGTTATACTAGTTGCAAAAAGGTATTTTCTGAATAAATTTTACGTTTTATTCATAACAATAATAATCATAATGTCACAAATAATATTTGGTGAGATGGAATTTTCTTTGGGGAATATATGATTTTGAAATTTCATATCATAAATGGTTGATAAAAGGGTTAATATGATATTTAGTACGTTTTGAGAAGTACATTTCCTATTCAAAATTATCAAATTAGTACATGTGAGATAGAGAAGACGTGAGATAGAAAAATAGAGGAAAAAACCAATGACATAGGAGGGCATTTGTTTCGTTTTCCCGATTTTTATTTAATTTTAGTATTCTTACCCCAACATTGCAAAACATGATTTGGCTAAGACTCTAATCGCAAAATATGACGAAACAATTATTGAGGAATGTGTTTATACCTCGAAGCCAGCAATGTCATTCAGTAGACGTGCTTTGCTACATGATGATTCAATGAGTTTGGGTCTAGATTTTAGCCATTGGTAAGCTTCTTCCTCGACAACATCTCCCATACACATGAAAGCCATTGTTAAAACCGCGTACACTGTAATCTCCACCTCACCAACTTCCATATACTCATCAAAACTAGGTATGTGAGATTCTAGTGCCCATTTGGCAAGGTCATGGTTGGATTTCACAAGTCTCTTGAACTGCAATCAATATGTGATATTTTTCAGTAATTTTCAGGTATTTTTCTGTAATTTTCAGTATTTTTCAATATGTGATTGAGAGAGAGAGAATGGTTTAATTTGGTTACCTCTTCTATTGTTTCTTTTAGGCAGTACAATCTTCCTTCTCGCACCATTTCTTTTTCAAACTCTTCAAAGGCATCATATATAATTTTGCAAACAACTTTCAGATAACTTGGCAGATTATAAATGGCATTGACATCATCAGGAGACCAGCTACATAAACATCGATCAATTTTATCATCGTCATGATCATCATTTTTTGTGTGGTTATTTAAGCATGTATAGTGTACCTTTCAAGGGCGTTAGCGAGGCTCTCTGCCTCGGGAAGAGATGCATATCTATCGTAAGTATCATCTAGAATTACTAAAATTGTGTAGAACTTAGTCAGCATAATCCTAGCACGCGAGAAATATTGCTAACACAAAGAAATACAATTCCACGATTCTGTCTCTATAGTATGGTGGCAACCTTGATGCAAAATCTTGGTCCTTGTACCACCTTTTGATCCGAACATATAAGATAAGACAAATATAAATCATTTTAATGGTATACGTAGAAGTTAAATAGTATAATCACTGAAGAAATTACATACTCGGTCACGATTTTGAGTTCTTGAGTGTAATGGAGCTGAAGTAAATTGAATTTGAGTTTGGAAAGCTTGAGCAGCGTTATGTCGTGGTCATCTTCATGTTCATAGAAAGGGATATATTCCTTTGCGACTATTATCTCCATGTTGTGGTACTGTGATATACCAAGAGCATTTTGTATTCGTGTTTTAAAATGAGACGAGCACATTTTGCCAATGGAAAATGATTCTAAGTGGGTCGTCGCAAAGCTAATTGCTTCGTCCATTACATAATCTGTTTTAGTTCCCATGTTAGCTGCTTCATACAAGGCAAGAATACCCTTAATATCCTCTATAAGATGTTCCTTGAACTTCCCATCATCTCCTTGGAATCTCTTGAATACATCTATCAATCAAATATAGCGAGCACCTTGTTATATCAAAGGAAAACAAACGTTTGTATACGCGAACAAATAACAATGGTTTATGAAAAGCCTAACATATAACTATAGATATTCCTTACCGGAAGACATGTTGTGACCGTATGTCCTAAAAACCCAAAAAATGATGGAAACATTGTACAAATCATATTCACCGACCATCATATCCGCTATGCTTTTGAAACTCTCTTCAAGACTCTCTTTGATCTCATCCTCAAAATGCCACGCAAGACCAAGGCTGACCAGCTGATATATCAAAAGGATTCTCTTCTTTTTCGCTTCACGGCCTTGGGAAGACAAGAGCATTCCCCTCACTTTTGGCTTCAATGCCTCGATCTCTCTCCGAAGAACATCCATTTCCTAAACAACCAAAGATCTTGGTCAGTGAAACAAAGAGGACTCCTTTAAAACTCATACAACAACAACATATATTATGATTAAATCCTGTATAATCTCCTATTTTCTCGCTAAGTAGCCTTGGGCAAAATATTCGTTAGATTCGCTTCGCTTCGATATTCGTTTGATTCGATTCGAAAAATTCAAATATCTATAAGATATTGAAGCGAAGCAAATATGAAAATGTAGTATTCGTAAAAACCGAAGCAAATAACAAATACTGATTTTTTTAATGCCGAATATCCGCTTCGCTTTGTATATTTATATATATGTATAAATATATGTATATGTATATGTATATTTATATATATATATATATATATATAAATATAAATCATTATATAATATACATAATATGTGTATTTATAGATTTGAGTTTATATCTAATAGACCTATTATTCAAATTATTATATTTTGGCCCGTTAGGCTTTTTGCTAAATGTTGTTTTTAAGCAAATAAAACTTTATTAGAAAAATCAATATCAAAAATAAAATATGAGAATCTTATGGACGGTAGTTACATTTCCTTCTTATTTTGAAAATATGTCAAACAAGAACCTCTAATATCTTATATTTTGCACTTTATGTTTATGTACTATATGTTTTTAGTTTCAAAGAAAAAATGATGGGTCGAAGCGAAGCGAAGCCAATAATTCGCGAATATTACGAAAAATATTCAAATATTCGAAGTTCCGAATACTCGGAAATTTACGAATCGAAGCAAATAGCAAAATCAACTATTCGGTCGGTCACAAATATCACAAATTTTCCGAATATTCGCTTCGTGCCCAGGGCTATCGCTAAGCGCCCGGCTAGCATCTAACGATTATTTGAATATACTTACCGAGTTATCAACCGAAACAGAAAGAAAGTGACTAGTCCATTCTGAAGGTGGTAATTTCTTGAACGTACGATTACTTTCACGACCATCAAAAGCGGAAGTAGCAGTAGCCTTCAAAAGAACCTTCTTTGGTAGCTTAAGTGATTTTGATGTCAACAGAAACGGAGTGTGTTTGCGTACCGGAGATAAGTTGATGCGGGCACGAAGAGGAAGTTGCGGTCCAAAAGTTTTTATGACTTCCATGTTATATGTTATATGAATCCATGTTCACTAGCAATATAAATAGGAGTGTTACAGTATGTGCAATTTGTTCACCTGGCCTATATAATAATCAATTTATGATTAAATAGACCCACTTAGCTTATTGTATTATTTTTTTTACATCAATCATTGGTTTTAGTCTTTCCAAAAAAAAAAATCTAGCCAAGAAAGATTGTAAGAAAAGTAGTTTTTGCTAAAAGATAGGAAGTCTAAATAATGATAGTTTTTGAAAGAAAATCTAAAATCCATACTTCACTTGTTTCCACTTCTTTACGCGAATTGTGTTCTTTTCTTTCCATTTAATTTTAAATTAATACAAATCTAGAAATCATAAATCAAAATCCAAAATATAAATATATATATATATATAATCGAAAACCAGTTAAAAACTTGCAAATATTCATGGTCTAAAAAACTTGATAAACCACAAAAGAGTTCCATTTCATACTTATGTTTTTGAATGTTTTTCAACCATAAAAAACAAAAATTTACCTTGCAAACTTTATACTAAAGAGTCACATACTTTAATATTTTGCATATAATTTTCTAACAAAAATCATTGGGTTTGATTTTGTTATAGCAATGATTTTTAAGGTTAAAGAACATTAAAAACATAAACATTTTTGTATTTAAATAAATCAAATAATAAGTTAATGTTTTTGATTGACAATGTAAAAATAAGCAATTCCCTTACTAATTCACTATTATTGGATTTTTTCCATTCTCAATTTAAATTTTAAAATTTTTAATTATTTTACTATTAGCTTAGCTTTAAAATTTTAAAATAACTAATTATTATAATAATGAATACATTAAAGATATATATAAATTAATGTTTAGATATTAAATATATAATACGTTTTTTAACTATACAAAACCATAAACAATTCAATAGCAAAAATTATTGTTTTTCGTTTTTAATAGTATAAATCAAAATAAAATTAAAAAAAAATTGGTCAACAATCGGTAAACGCCGGAGTCAACATCGGTTTTCGCCGGATTCAGTTGACCAGTGTACCAGAATAATATGTCTATGATGTTGATTACATGACGCCATATAGTTGATGCATGTGGCCATGCAATACATCTACTTCGTGTAGCTGAGTATACAATAGTATACTTGTCATGTGTGACCATGCATTCTCCTATATTTCGTATAGGTAGCAATCTTTTTTCTTTTTTTTAATCTCTTGCTACGGGATTATATAAATGTTATGAGCTTATTAAAAATTACATTTACTTATTAAAAATTATATACATATATTGGTTACGTTTGATTTTATAAAAATTTTTAATGACAACTCAGAAAGCATACCTCCCATTATGTACTTAAAGTCTAATTTTACCCATTCACAAATATAACTGGTGAGCTAAAACTTTTTAAGGTTTCCAGCCAAATAAAATATTTTTCTTTCTCCTTTTCTAAATTTTAAGGCTCTAAATCAAAGTAGGAATTTTCTTTTTGTCTTAGGATATCTTAGCAGATCTTGCAAATTATATATAGTTGTTTGTATAAGTGGCCACTACACATACAATTTAGAATATTATCTCAGGACTTTTTTTAGTATGTCACCATAATTAATCAATCAACCAATTTTAAAACAAAAGACAAAAAATGACACATACAATAGTGGATTCTATATCATCATTAGAAAACCATTTCCATGATCAGAAAATGAGTGCATTTATGTTTGAATCTTCATCCACAAACTAAGGATGTTCTTTTTTCTTTTTTTCTCATTTGTAAATCTAAATCTTCTCAAGATTTGTTTGGTGAATATGTTATATAATAAAATCCATTAGACCCTTGACTCAAATTATTGACTACTAAATGAAATTTTATATATCAGATTCAAAGTATTCAGTTTTCTATAAATTAATAATTAGAAAATAAGAAACAGGCAAAAATAAGTTTGTTTTTTCATATAATAAAATTTCTGATTTGATATAATTTTCTGATTACATAGTTTAGATAATAGATGCCACAACGAAAACGAACATCAGGATGAACAAACACGGTACAAGAACCTTAAAAAGATATATAGAAAAGATTAGATAGAGACTTCGAAACCATAGCGCAAACATGCCCCGGGAACTTAGGATTGTCATACCAAAACTGTGTATAAATCTTTAACCAGGGTGCAGGTGTTGCGAATTCCTCGCCATAATCGGAGCAAAAGTAACTTATACTCACTCCTTTCCTATAAATATGGTCTTTTAGGCTTTTTTCTTTCTAAAATAGATGATTTTCTCTCAATTCTATATGAAACTAGTTATAGTTTTATTGGTTTTAACAATTTATATTCTTCAGATTGTTTTTCATTGGTTAAATTGTGTTTAAGGTAGATATTAAATAATGTGTTTATCTACAAATTAATGGTTTTTTAATCTCTATGCATTTGATCAAAAAATCATCTATTGTAGAACGGATGGAGTATCAAGAAAATATATATATTTATTAAGTAATTGTTCTAAGAATTTATTTTAAGAAAATCGAAATTAGAATTTGTATAATTTTGCCGATGACTCTTTTTGAATTTTTCATCAAATCCTCAACGAAAAATCTAGAATTCAAAAGAAGATACATAAGCTGTTTACAGTGCGTCGAAGATAGGCATGTGAGTATGTGACCTATAACATCAACACACATATAGAATATTTCCATTACCTTGTAATTTAACTCATTTACTTTTATGTGGATTTTTATTTGGTTTTTAGAATATTAATCAGTTAAACTCATCGCACCTTACAATATTTTTTTACAGAATGAAAATTGTGAGGAATTTCAAAAAAAAAAATTGAATCGTGTTTCACGACAAATACTTACGAATCAAAATACTCATCACGAAACCAAAATAGTCGTTGTGGAATTGAAAATTACATATTCTTCGAAAATTTTATTATTACATATTTACTTTTTTTAAAATCTATATCCATGAAATAATATATCAACACTCATCATTACATCTACGTCTATCCTCCTACACAAAATGAAAATTGCAGATTATAGGAGAACTGTTACAAATATATTTCTACTATGGATAATTCCTTCCGGTCCTATTAGATTCATTATTGACAACACTATATGCTGATTTTGAACATCTCAATTCTCCATGCTAGTTTTGGACACCTTTTTCTCTTACAATAGCTAGAATCACGATGAACGGCTCTAATTGCGCATCACTAGAGATCTTCCTGTAAATTTGTCTCCATTAATTTGCAAAGATATTAATAAATTTCACTATATGAGGCTCGAACCCCAGATCTCTTGGTGTAGAAATATTACTAAATCTTTGATCAACACCATTAGACCAAGGGACTTCTACTTATTTATTTAACTTTCATTTTAAAATTGAATTACTACTAACTGATTAAAAAATGATAGTTTCTTAATTTTTTCTCAAATTCGTTGAAAATTATTATTCCTTGAGGATCTAATGGAAAATACATTGAAAATCCGTCGAAATTTAAGTTTCGTCAAAAATGAAAGTTCTATTCTGATTTTTTTTGGCAAAAAAAAAAAAAACACATTACTAAATTGTTACATGTTACATGATGAAGATATAATGTGTCCAACTTCCATATAACTTTTTTAAAAAACAATTCTTATTATCCGAGAAGTAATTGATGAAGTTAATTAATTAAGATCTATATATATATTGAAACGTACAAGGGCAATGCATTGAAGTCGTCTCAGCTTCCTTAATGTTTCATCTTCTTCTTCTCCTTCTCCAATTCAACTTCATCACTTTCAACTGTATTTTTTGATATGACTCTTTGACATTAAATGGAACCCTTCACCGCCTCCATTTAAGGGACACCCAGAAATTGGTACAGTGTAATGTAATGCAATCCTTCATTTAATGACATTACTATGAAATAACGTTTTATTGTTGCACCTGTCTATCTACTTCTGAAAATTATAATCTATGGTTGTAGTTTCAGATTTGTTTTTCCAACTTCTCTTGTCTGATTCCTAGCTGTTGTTTTCACTAGATCTTCTCCTCTACTATTGTATTTTGCATTAACGTATAATAACATTAATAATATGTAATCTTTGTACTAGTATATTGATGATGTGCATATATGTCATAAATTTGGTTTAATGAACATTATAACCCTATGTGTTCTGGTGGTTGAGGCTTGTGATTCAGGGTGCATGGTATAAGTTCGCTAGGTCAAACTTGGTGAAAGTAAATGTTTAGTTCACCTTAAGATATAGTCAGGTACACTTAGATCATCACCTACAAAAGAAAAAAGATACAATATATAACTTATTGTAAGTTATAACAAATAAAATACATATGTTTTTGATCACAAATTTTTAATTCTTGTACGGGAAAATTTTCCGAACAAAACTTGTATTATTTCATATTTGTCAGAAAAATACATGAACTATTTTTTTGTTGCGAGAAAAATATACCGACTAATTTATAATTGCTAAAAAATACACTAACTATCATGATTCCGATTTTTTGCCTATTGTGATTACGATTTTTAACGAAGTTAACACAATCGTAAACATTAAAATAAGCTAGCATTTCTTTATTATATGGAATTGCAAAACTCCTACTATTTCTTCAAAAGCCATCTAATTGGTACGTAAGCATTACTATGAAACTCCTAAAAGCAATTTACTCTAAACCTACGTAGCACTTATCAATTCCTAGACAGAGAAGCCAGTAGATATCAGATTTATTTTTGCATTTGGTGCGGCCAAATTAATTACAAACTGTCCAAAAGACAACAGAAGATTATTAAATAAAGGTAATAAATTGTAACCTGTTTTTTTTCAAATATACACATCCAATAGCTTATTGAAATTGAATTAGCCTTTATTTTATTTTAATTTTATTATATTTTTGGGAAAGAAGTAGGAATAGAGAGCGTTGGATATATTTATAATGCATCTGATGGTTTTTAAATTTTAGCTCTCTGGTTGCAGTAATTGAAGAGGCGAAACTTTGAATGCACGTCATGCATGGACAGTGTAGGTCAATAAATATTTCTCTTTTTAATTTTTATTTTTAATACAAAAATATTTTTGCTTTGCTATATAAAAAGGTCGTCCTCTCAAACAGTTTGGCCTACACAACATTAAGCACATCGTACGTTTACTTCTATATCTTATGTGATGTTAGAGTTTACAGACAAAGGAAACATAAACTGGTTGCTGAAGAAACAAGAGATGGCTTCATCTTATTACATGGGATCCGAGGATGTTTCTAGAAAACGAAAGAGTCTAGATTTTTTGGCAAATGATCATGAGCTTGTCAAAAGATCCGAAGCAACAAAATTTATGGATACTTCGTTCGATCATAAGGTAAACATTATATTTCAAGATTAATTCTTTCATTTTAACATATATTTCAAGATTATATGCAATGTTTTATAATTTTCCAAGCATATGTTACATGTTTTAAGAACAGTTTAGAACAATGAATCGGTGTATATATATATCTCTCTAAGAATTGTTTTGGATCTTATGTTGTAGAGAAGAAGATTCATCAGTGAAGATTCAACAAATATGAATAATAATATCGAAGAAGGATATTATCACCACCACCACATGAGTCTTGATCTTGAACTCAACTTGTCACCATCACTCATCGATCTTAATCATCATCATGATCTTAGTTGCAACAAAAACTATGTGGAAGTGGAAAAGAAGAAGATGACGGAGAAGGGTACAAAGAAAAGCTTGGCAAGGGTTGCTTTTGATCTTGATGAAGATTGTTGCGACCGCGGTGGCGTTGGAGGAGGAAGTGAGGAGGAGATGGTGGCTAGGGTGTGTATAAAGTGTCATACTCTAGTGATGTTATGCAAAGCTTCACCGGCATGCCCTAATTGCAAGTTTATGCATTCACCTGAAGACACATCTCTCTCACTTCTCTTTACTCCTAAGCCTACTTTGTTAGCTTAGTCATAATTGTTATTAGTTTCTAATCATATTATCTATATCTAATCACTAATTAATGTTGAGTATTTAATGTTGTTTCCTCGAACAAATACTTTATTTGTTGGGGATGTTGTTGGACCTTTTAATTTGATTTCTAGTATAAGATCATTAATGCGATCCCTTGTTTTTTTTTTTCTGAATCATCACAATGTGACGGTTGAGAAAAATAATATTGGTTGGTGATCATATATATATACATAATATAAAATATCATGTATTTTTCTTTCACCTGATATTATTTGTCCATATATTTTACCCCATTTGGTGAAGTTATGTTTGAACATATTTGCATAAGTGACGGCCTAAGTGGTTCATATAGGGTAAAGAACGTCCTCGCTAGTTTTTCTTTCTTTTCAAGATTGAAGTTTACTAAGGCTAAAAAAAAAAGGTTACTTACGCTATTTTTGTATGTGGTGTAATTTAGTTTAAATAAGCTTTTAAAAAACCAAAGTGGTAAGAGATATTTTGGTGTATAAAAATGTAAACCTAATCTTAATTGGGAAAAATGTCAAAAAAGCACCGACTATCAAATTTAGGATAAAAAGAGCATAAATTTTTGAAATATCATTTAAATCCTAAAGTTTTGTTTGATTTTTGGATAAAATAGTCAAGTTTCGTTGACCTTCCCATTTTGGGCATCCCGCTAAATTTTCGTTAATAGAGTTAACTTTTTCGTCCTAAATTTGAAAGTTTGTGTTTTTTTTTACATTTTTCCCAATCTTGTTTCCATATTTTTTTATTTTTTCCTTCTTCCTGATTCAATTAGTTCCAAGGTATAAAAATGTAAATCTAATCTTGTTTCCATAAATTTTTTTTTCCTTCTTCCTTACTCAATTAATTCTAAGATAAGTAGGCTCAAACTTTTAAATGTAAACTAGATCGAAACCCCCGCTATGTCGCGGGATTGATTTTAATTTTCTTTAATTACATGAGCTCAATCTTTTGTGCAACTGAAGATATTCCTCTGAAATGTATGTATGTATGAAATGAATTTAATCGGTCAAAGTTAGATGGATGAAAGATCTAACTGTATATTATCTAAATTTAGAAAAATCAAGGTGTATATATAGAAGATTAGACAATGCAAAAAAATTGTCATCATGTCATTCTAGAGTTGAGCGTGAGATAATATCGAAATTATGATACACTTTTAAGTCAATCAAAAACTAATTCAAGAATGCGTTGTTTGAGATTTCAATGACAAATGCTTCATCTACCAGAAAATATCTCCCTTCATTGACTACATGCACTATTTTTACTTTTAAAACCAAATTATGTAAATACAAAAAATTCATAAGTTAAAATTTTAATATGAGATTACATGATTTTAATGAAACGTTTTTGCTAAAGTTAAATAGAAAGATTATTTGAATTCTCAATAGTCTTATTATTTCACCGTAAAAGAAATTATAAGACTAATGAGAATGAGAACAAAGTCCAATTTATGTAAATAGTAGTCGTGTGTGCACAAATTTACGTAATTAGCTCGAATACTGAGATGTTAAAATTACTTTTGTAAAATACAAAATTCAAAAACTTTAGAAACCATCGACCACCCAATCATCTCCATTTCTCGAGATCGAGTACCAAATATGTGGAAGATGTACATTAAAGGTTTCATGATCATAGTGCTTACAACATGCTTTTTGGCTGGAGGTACGAAGCCGTCGTGCCTCGGCGCTTCTGCTTCAACATCTGATAAATCTAATGGCGATGTCAAACCAACAATAGTAGATGAAGTTATAAAAACAATATAGAATAATGATTATGGAAGTCATGGTTATGTACATTAGGAAAGAGTAGCACAATTTGGGTAGCGTTGACTACAAGTAATTTATTCTATGTTATTTAAATGCAAAATTGTGTATACTTTCTTACATCTTGACTTTGACTGTAAATATCTGAAAATATCTCAAAGTCTTTTAAAACCAATATAATAAATAGGAAAAAGATAGTCAACTACACCAAACATAACAGAGTACATGACTACATATCTCAACTATAGAAATGTATTCATCTAGATGAAGAAAATTTGACTAAACATCTTTTTGTTAAAGAAGTTTGACTAGAACATATTTATTATCTAACAAGATATAAATTTCATATTCAACTATCTTGCAATAATAAAGCAACTTATAAAGCTAAAACTTAAAAAAAAAAAAAAAAACATTTTCTCAACGCTTTTCTTCTTCATCTGATTCTTGTGTTGTTGCATTTGGTTGAAGCTATTCCATTGATCAAACGCCATGGATTTTAATCGGAATTATACTCATCCGGATTGTATATATGCGGATAATCTTTTCCATGAGTGTGCTTCAGCTTGTTTTGAGAGAATTGATCAAGGCCATGGCAAGAAGAACTCTACAAAAGAAAGTTCAAAACTTTGTTGCTCAGAGAATTTTGGTAGGAAAAAGAAGCAATCAAATTCACTACCGCCTTCAATGGTACCGGCAAGACCTTATCAAAATGGTGGAGGTGGTTTTGCAAACGGTAACTCTCCAAAGGTTCATCATGCAATAGCTTCACATGTTGATGTGAAGAAGAAGAAGATGGTTTATGAAACCAGACATTCTTTCTCTTCTTCATCATCCGGTGACCATGATGATTTTTTCAACCATAAACAAGAGAAGAAACGCTCTCAAACCATTCCAATTTCTTCAAACAGTTTGGTTGATCAAACCAAACAGTTATCACCTAAACCAGAAATACAAGAATACAAAGGGAAGACTAGAGGAGGTGGCGAGACAAGGGTCTTTAGTTTCAAAAGTCCTCCAATGTCGCATGCAAAGGAGAGCAATAATGATTACACTGAGGATGATGGTGATGATGATGATGATGAAGAAGAAGAAAATAATGAGAGTACAGTAGATCTTGATCTTGAATCAGTAATGTCTGACACTTTTGTCTCTATTGGGAAATACCGAGTCAGATCCTGTTTGTCCATTATCCTAAGTGCCATTATCGAGAAACACGGAGACATTGCTCAAAACTGTAAGCTAGAATCAGACTCTATGCAATCCAGATACCTCGAGTGTTTATGCTCGTTGTTACAGGAACTAAAGTCAACCCCAATCGGGGAGTTGACCAAAGTCAAAGTCAAAGAGATGATCGCGGTTCTCAAAGATTTTGAGTCTGTGAACATCGAAGTGGCATGGCTAAGTTCGGTTCTTGAGGAGTTTGCGCAGTCTCAAGAAAATGTAGAGAAAGAGAAAGAGAGGCATGATGGTTTAGTGAAGGCCAAGAGAGAAGAGCTTGAGGCTCATGAAGCTGATTTGGTTAGGATGGAGAAGGATGTGGATGAAGCAAAGCTGCGGATAGAGGAGACTCGGGCTCAAATGGTGGAGATGGAGATGGAAAGGTCAAGAATGGAGAAAATGGGATTCATACTGGAGAAATTTAAAAGGAAATGGTTTATCGACAAGCTTCTATAGAAAATGGGATTCATAATTGATTTTTGTTTTGTGTTTGATATTTTTAATACTAGTAAATGTACTAAGTAGTAGCACAAAATCAAAATACTCTAATAAACGTACTAAAGGTTAGGCTCTTTTAAGCATTATGGAAAAGCTCATATGCAATATGTCCTTCTTCTTCTTCCTCTTCCTCTTCTCCGTCTTCTTCCTCTCCTTCTCCTCCTGTCCGAGCTGAGATAATAGCTGCTCTAATATGTATGTATTAATCTCATCAACTGTCTCATTTTGTGGAGTAACTCTTACATATGTATACTATGATAAAAATATAATATTACACGTTTAGGGTTGAAGGATGAAGATTTCAGATTGCCAAAAACAATCCCAGCGATTTCGGATAGCAAGAGCTCGACACACCCTATTTTCCAATATATTCCACTTAAGTCCATGAACGTTTGTTTATTTACAGATTTCGTTTAAAACTTTTGAATTAATCAAATATCTGACAAATTTGGGCTTTTTAACATGGGCTTCTAACATAATTGGCACTGAGTAGATTGACCCTAACCCTTTATATATTCTCCCCATGCTCAGGCTAACTGTGGCGTGGATTTGTTACCATGACAAATTCGGGTGGCTCTGTTACCATGACAAATTCGAGATATTTTAACATGGACTTCTAACACTACAAGAAAACATGTCGATATCATACGAAAATTCCTTCAAAATAAATGGTAGGAAAATTTTCCTACGAAAAAACTTCGCATTTATGACGAAAACGCAAAAGGGTAGGAAAAAGGAAGAGCATTTAACTACGAGAAATGGTGTCAGAAAGTGGAAGGAATATTTCCTACCAATTTCTTTTAAATAATAGTTTCGTAGGAAATGGTGAAGGAAAGAAAAAAGAATGTAGAAGGAAATAACGCGGAGAGAATTGGGTAGGATTTTTTCCTTCGAAATGCCTTCAACTGAGAAGTGGTAGGAAATGTCGTAGGAAATCGGTAGATATATCGAGGGAAATCATTTCGTAGGAAATTAGAAGGAAACAATAATTTGTAGGAAATTAGTTTCTAACCTTCTAAACACAAAACATATATTTATAATTTGCAAGAAATAAATTTGTAACCTTCTAAACACAAAATAGATATTTATAATTTGTTTCTAAAGTACTAATTTGTATCATATATTTTATTGGGCCTATAATTAAAATTATAAAGTATCATTTGTATAAAAATATAAAATTAATTAAAATTATAAAGTATCATTTGTATAAAAAGATAAAATTGATTAATTTTAATGAAAAGAAGAAGAAATTATTAAGCATGGTGCTTAATCAAGGATTTTAATTGGAGGAGGAAAAAACATGAAAAATATGAAAATTGCTTTATTATCATCTCAAATCTTAATAATGTTACTAAAGGTGAAGCCCGTTAATAGTCCAGCTCCAGCATAATGGTCTTGTCTGATTCTTATCTATCAAACCAAAAGCACGGCTCCACTCACGTGCCGTACCACCCTACGCCTAAAGCACAGTCACATGTGTGCTTATGTATCGCTATTCGATTGGAAGAGAAAAAAATATGAAAAAAGCAGTTAGCAATATTAGGGTTCATCGAATTGGGAACTGATGTGTTGCAAAACTAGGGTTCTATGTTGTTGCAGGAATTGGGATTAGATCCGTCAGTTTGAAAACACTAAACCTAGTCTTCTCCTTTCTTCTTCCCGTCGACATCGAATCAGTGACTCCGACATCGTTAGTGAGTGCTGCTTCTCATCGATTTCTACTGCAACAGAGGTCCTTCCACGAATCTGTATGTTTTCCCTGCGACCCTTGCTTTGTAAATTTGATATTTTGATTTCATTTTCTAATCTGAGGGTATGAATCGTGGGTGTTTGTTAGATTTGATTGATGCATCAATGTTAGTTGAATGGAATGTGAATCTATTTGAATTTTTACTCTCTGCTCTTGGAATTGAGAATTGGAAAAGTTAACATAATGGTTCTTGGAGCTAAGAATTCAGAATTGGAGAAGTAAACATAATGGTTCTTAGTTCTTACGCTCACTGATTTTGCTACTAAAGGTTTTACTGATTCGATTAGAGTGTTCTTGACTAGATTAGGGTGTTAATAATTCACTTTTTTTTTTAATCTCTGTTGGAGATTAGACAAGTAGTGTAGCAGAACAAATGCAGTTTACACCTCATTTTCTTATGTCTTTTTGCAGCTTTAATTGATAATGTAGTTGTGGTTGTTGTTGCAGAGTTTACGCATTTGCTAATGGTTCTTGTTTAAAACCATTTTCTTGTTTTTAGCTTCTCTAAGGTCTAGGGTCTCTTTCACTTTGTGACTGCTTCTCTACTTTGATTTCCTTGGCTTTGTACTATACTTATCTCTGGTTTTAATCGGTTACTTGTGATCAATATAGAAAAAGGGTTTAATTTGCAGCTATAACACTTCTTTTGCAGCTTTAATTTGTTAAGCATGTGATATGATCTCAATTGGTGTTGGTCTGTTGAGGTCTGTTGAGTTCTTGCAGCTTTTTTTTTTTTTCAGATTCTAATAATGTTTTGGGAGTTCTTGTTTCAGATTCTAATCATGCTTGTTTAGTTAAGTCTTTTCGTTTAAGTTAAGGTAGTGAAATGTATCATGTATTTCAGATTTGTAGTAAATCACTAGTGATGATGAAATCGTTTTTGTTTGAATAAACATGCAATTGCTTTCTTGTTGTTTATGCTTCTTCCTTCTGTTATCTTAAGATTGATAGCGCACAAGTTTGAATGAGCCAGAGAATAAAGTAGCTGAGAATTCTTGTGTCTCATTTTGTTAAAATTCTTGTGTCTGGTTTGTGTTTCAGATAAGAGTAGAGCCAGAGAATACTCATTTGATCTGCTTTAGCAGCTGCCAGCTGTGAGTGGTTATACCAATGAGTTTGCATACCAGACACAAGAATTATAAATTATTTATAAATGATTATTAATCAAAATTACCCTCAATAAATCAAAGTTTTTTGTAGTAAGTTGAGGGGATAGGGTCCGGCGAAGAAGGAGAAGATGACAATGGCAGTGAGCTTAGGGATAGTTGTCGTTCCGTCGTGTTCCGGAGATCGCCTCTTCCGATCTAACTTCTCGGCCGTCTGTAGCGTCTCTTGCGGCCGAATCAATGTCGGAACCGTCGTAATTTCGACTCGCCGACGCCGTGATATGGGCGGGTTAATGATTTCTAGCTGTATCTCTTCGGATTCTTCTTCTTCTTCGTCATCGTCTTCCTCTGTGCCAAAGACGAAACTCTTTGTTAGTGGTAAGTAAGTTTTATGTTTCCAGTTTCTTTATCTGCTCATCACCCCAATTCGTGAAAGATGCTTCTGTTATGGAATTTTCTTGTTATATACTCTGTGATTCTTTTAGTGTTTCGTTAAGTAGTATTCAATTAAATTCTGCGGCTGTTCACTGAGGATACAGACATTGAGAGCAACCCTGTCATTTTCTTTGATAAACTTAGAAGTTAGAATATCTCCAAAACCTT